GTTGCTGAAGAATATAAAGAAGATACGGAAAAAGTGGTTAGCTCTCACATCGCTGTCTCTTTCAGATACCAGGACTCAATCTACCCAAGACTGAATCCACGTCTTTTCTCGAATGATGTTTCCGTGGGTGACTGAAAAGATTTGCACTACGTGTAAGGATGAAGGAAACTTAATAGGTACTGGAACTACCATTGTGTTACGAGAACAGCACTGAGTCGGCGATAAAATACCTGTCCGACAAGTTCTCGCTTCCTTTCTGATAAATTCAATGTATTTCGTAGAATGAGTCAAAATAGCTGAGAACGGCTGATGATATTACTATTCTGCCAACTGATTGAGAAGAACTGCCGTAATGAACCACAAAGCTTACTGTGAGAAATGCAAGGCTCGTCCTGGCGACAGAAAATGTTGCGGGGTAGGACAGAACCAACAAGCCAGCGCAATGGCAAATTAGTTGTATAAATTACTAAGGGGAGGCGGGCGAAAAGAACGGTGCCAAGCGAAACCGACGTGCACTACCCTGGCTTAATTATATGGTAAATAAAAGACCCACAAACGAAATGTTTCCCAGCTGTTAATCGTTGCCCTAAAAGGCAGCCCCGCCAATAATTTGGCAAAATAGATGCACTCAAACCTAAAGGTTCTACACGGCAATTCGAGTACTTCAGAGCAACTACCCGCTAAATTATTTGTAGACCTCCGAGGTTGCAGGATTAAATCGGGTGAAACCATGGACTCTTTCGACGCAGCGTCGTTATTCACATCCAAATGTAACGTACGAAGTCTTGTGCAAGAAACTCGAAGAGGCCTGGGAGGAAATGCTAATCTCCTCCGAGATTGAGCATTTTATGACTGTCTAAATTTCGCCAAATGATTTACTTCAGGTTTGTCGGGGAACCCTATGAGCAAAGCGAAGGAACTCCGTTGCGCTTGCCAATTGTCAGGTTTACAGGGCAGAACTTATCCTACAAGACTGTCTTCCCGTAGCACAAGGGTGTCTTTGATTCCGTTGCGTCAACGACATGGTTGGTATCTTCAGGAGGTATATGCTGCAGTTTTCATAACCGTCTAGATGCAATCTTCCCAGATACACAATTCACGAGAGACGAAGAAAATGAGCAACAGTTGAGCTCCCTTAATGTATTCTCCAGACGAAGTCCTAACGGGGAAAATTAGGACCACCATTGAGACCAAATAGCACTAAACAATTCAGGCTCACAAACAGAAATGTATGACAATGCCCCTCAAACATCAACCGACAGGAAGAAAAGTGCGTAAACCCAATTTGTACGGAATGGCTATCCAAAGGGGCTTAGAAGCCACTCCCACGAACCGGGGGTTTGGATCGGTTTGGATCGCACATCGGCTTAAAATTAGTATGAGCAAAAGGGCCATAAAAATTAAGGACCCAGTAAACTCCAGGAAGCACTCAAGTATAACGTACATTAACCTCTGCGGTGCGAAAGGGTGACGAATTACTACAAATGGCTGCCCACACCTTCGATAAAGGGCACGATTTCAACCTCGCAGTCATCAAGATAATTCCTCGTGACGGAAGCGAAACAGGCCACGGGTTGATTGAGACAGTGTATTGGTTTGGCGGTCGCATGTACTCTGATAGCAATGTCCTAGGTACAAAGGTCCTATGCCCATTTTTTGCCCGGCGTTGGATGGTCACATACGTGCGCACCGAAAGTGCATGCCCTTACAACAAGCTTTTCGACCATCGATTTCGATGAAAGCTTGTAACCTCCCCCAGTCAACGCCCAGATCTGCATTCACGCAGCACTCGGACCAAAGAGTCTAGGAGAAAAATGGGCCTAGGATCACTAGGACCTTTGGACCTAGGACATTGCTATCAGGGATACAGTCCTGTGTAATCACTTTCAGACCTGCGGTACTGGTCGTTGATTGGCTACTGACCCCCTGTGACCGGCACTTGTTCCATTGCTGATTTACTATCTGAAGATGGATTTCTGTACGAGTTGATGAGTTAAGAAAAATTAAAGGGTGGTTCTGATGCTTCATCAATCATACATATACCTGGAGCTCGAACAATCAGCGCGAATAATCAGTATTGCAACCTTAGTGAGGTACCTTCAAAGGTGTCAGCAAATGCTTCATGAACTATGAGGCAACACCTAGATCACTTTTTGGAAGGAGGTGGAGACGAAGTGACTCGAATTACCGCTAGGTAAACGATTTTCGAGGCAGTGCTGCAAAATGCCCGAATAAAAAATCAAAAAAATCAAAATGAATTTTCTAAGATATAAGAGTCATCAGTTAATAAACATAATAAGAATGACAAACAACTCTCCATTTGAAAAACATGAAGTTTAAATAAGAACTCTAACAAAGCAAATTGTGTTTTGTTCACCTGAAAGTCTACCTCAGTCGTACTCATGGCTGTGAGCAGACGCAAACGAAGCTCTATCATCGCAGTAACCATCAGAAGTCGTAAAGGTAGTTGAGAATCTGGAGGACGGTCGTGACAGTCGCCTTCCGAAGCCCTCATTTCCCCAGAGGGACAATTACATGCCAGAGTTCGAGTCCATCGTAGCGACTGGCCTGAGAAGTACGACATAGCGACAAAAAACTCTAGAATTGGTGTTAGCTTCTCCAACGCTGAAGGTAGACCTGCGTGAGAGAGAAAGAAAGAAGGAAAAAAGAAAGAAAAAAGGGGAAACGGATAGACATACAGATAGAGACTGTCTTTTCGAAACCTTGGCGGGCTCCGAATTTGATTGAAGTAAACAGGGTCCAAATTGAATACGGAGCTGTGTATTACAATCACAATAAAAAATCATTCAAAAAGTATTGATCTAAGTTCCAAAAGGGTCGCACATCTTGTGAGAGTAACAGTAAAGTTTGAAAAAGAATCATGCTAATATCAAACAAGTAAAGTAAAGCACTAATTGAGGAACACTCACTTTTAGTCTGTAGGCAATTCAGGGCTATTTGTCCATAATGCAGGAGCGATTCCGGCTGACTGCAATCCCGAGAGAGAGGACGGCTGGCTTGGAGGACTTTTGCTAGAAGACTAAAGGTAGAGAAGAGGGAAGCATCCTATTTATGAAAAAATTGAGTGCATAGTACTTTGCATAAGTCAGAAGAATGACGCTGAAGGAATTGCAAAAGTTCGGAAATGCTGGAGCGGTGAACGCAATCTGGGCAGGATATCCTGGATAGAAGTATTTCGATGAGCTTTATCGCAGCGAACGCATCTAGTGGGATGGGCAATTAATAATATATAAATATACATATATGCAAACCTGTTTCAAAGTGCTTCAGAAGACGAGATATAAAGCAATCTCGCGGACATTTTTCGAGTAGTGAATGCAAGGATTCTTTGGTACTAATAATAATAATAATAACTAATTTCGGCGGTACCTTTCGGAATCTCTTTGAAGCAGTTCTATCAACGCGGACGCGGCATCCTGTTCAGATATTGTCTCATTAGCATCTAGCGCGCACTGAAATAACTGTTTTGTGGGTTGCGCCAAGGTTACGGTAGGTTTTTCGTTTGTGTTAGAAGTTGGATGCATCTACGTAAAGAAAAGGTTTGGACTTACTATACTCGGCCCTACATTTTAATGACACAATTGTGAAATCAAGAGTGGCACAGAGGTTAGACATCCAACGATAACTGGAACATGTCGATGCTATTTGTTTTCCCGTTTGTTTTCATTAAATAGAAAAAACTCTTAAGTCAGAGAGCCAATGGCGCTAAGAATGAAGTGCTTTCAAAAAGAGGATATTTGTCCTAGTACAAATATATAACACCTATTAATTATATAACAATCAAAGAACTTCCCATGGCTGAACAAAAACTTATGAGAAAGGCTATGTTAACTGTCTAACACTTAGTTCAATTAAGTCGCAAAACCACAGACGCAGCACCTGGTGTGAAAACCTAAGATTTAGATACTCAGCAGCGAAAGGGGTGAAGCAGGTAAGACAAAGGCATAGAAGAACAGCATAGCACTATACGTATTATGGAAAAATA